AGTCTCTGATTGCGGCAATCACGAAGTAGCGTCAAAAGTTTGTGCAGCTTTATAGATTCAATATACACATTCAATATAACAGACACTACAGTGTAAAGGATATGCAAGCGCATTGAATCGCAACAGTTGCATCAATTTAACAATAATACATAATGTCAGCAACAAATTCCGCATTGATGCCTGCCAACGTATATTTATGTGTGGGTGTCTGTAGGTGTACATAATTCTGGCAAATAAAACGCAATTAAAATGCGAACCAGGCGGCGCTTTATGATTAGAGAACGCGCTACAATTTTGTTCACGTTTCTGACTGAACACAACAACAACAACGACAAGAAAGCTTAACTAACAGCTGGGGGACTGCCGAGTGGCGCATGGAATAATTCAGCAAGCAGACAACAACAATAAATAATCATCTTTTGAGTGCACTTGCAAAAAACACTTGAACTTGCTAACTACAATTTTCAATAATTAAATTAATTTAATTAGCAATTGCAGATGCATTTCCCATTTTATTATTTTAAGTGTGCAGCTCTGTAGTAATTGGAAAACAGACACAACAAAAAAATTTTTCAAATAACGATCAAATATTGCTTATAATGAGTGTTTTTTTTTAAGTTTCATAACTTTAAATTGTCAACCTTGCTTTATTTAGTAATCAATTGAATATGTGATAGCTGTTTTCTCATTGAGTTTTGCTTGACATTTTATTATAAATTGATTTATATATAAATAAATTATATATATTTATTATAATAATAATTCTTATCGTCTAACTCATCGTGTTAAAGTCCACTTTGAGTGGAATGTATCCGATAATTGCCTGATTCATTTATTTTTTAAGCATTGACTTATTACACCGTTTTTCTCAGTGTACACATGTAGCACTTAAAGATGCAGCTAGACTGGGCCAGCACTTAAGTGAAATGGCTGTAGCTCAACTTTGGCCAAATGCAGCTGAAATGACAGGCAACAGCGGACAACAGACAACAGGCAACAAGAGAGGATGTGGCTTCAACGTCTCTGTTGGCTGTTGCCTGTTGTCTGTTGTCGTCGTATTTATCACTGCTGTCTACAAGCCACAGGTAACTGGCAGGTTGGGCCGTAGGGGCGTGTTCTGGTCAGAACTTGCCGCAGGTCAGGTGAGCAAGGTGCGAGTGGTTTTTTAATTTGCGAATCGTTGGCGAGTCTTGCAGCACATAAACTCAAGCTGGTTAAATTGCAAAATACCTTCTCTTATTGTAGACGTGTGTATGTGTATGTGTGTGTGTGTGTGTGCGTGTGCGTGTGTGAGTATCAGTTCAATGCCCACTAAAAATACAAATACATATTGCAAATACATTTCTTTTGTTTCGTTTTTATTGAATTTTCTTTATAATTGCTGGCGACATGCATGTAGCATGTTGCATGTTTGTTGCTACCAGCTGTAGAGTTGTTTGGCTGTTTGTTTGTTCGATTCTAATTCGATTTATGTTTGCATGTTTGCACCGAAAGCGCTCCGCTATTTGTCGAAATCGATTCGAATTTCAATTTGGGTCAAATGCAATCAATCCCAGCCATCGTCAGCTCAGCGAACTACTTTCAGCAGTCATTGAACTTTGTAATATTTTGTCGGTTTTCTATTGATTAGTCAGAAATGGCAAAGCTTGAGTAGCAGACGACTCATGACACGTTCGCACTAATGAATTTTTAAAACTAGTTTTTTTATTATTATTATTTTATGACATTTCTCTTCGCATCATGTGGCAAATATTGAGTCAAAAAATCACCTAAACTGCCATTTAACTGGTTTTTCTATTCAAATGACATGGAAATAGATAAAAAAAATATAATGTCCTTGCGTCACTTAAGATCAAATCTACATAGGTATAGATTATGGAGGTGGTTTTATATGAAACATATAGTATAACATCTTGTGTTTTTTAATTATATATAATGATAATATAAGATATATAAGAGTGTCAACACCTGAGATATTTTAATAAATATAAATAAAATATTATAATATATAATTTTCTTTATTAATATAAGCTCTGTGATATACTATAGATACTTGATTGAATGACTGACTCTGTGATAAATTGCTCCAATTTAGTCAAGGTCGGCTTCCAATACTTAAGTCCATATCGATTAAGACATTTACATCTAATCAACGTATCTAACTTTTCAAAGACAGACCTACCCTTGTGTTACATATCTCCCCAATTATATCACACTTCAAACAAAACTTTAATTTGTTTCTATCTTACAATGAGACAGCATTTGGTTAAATAACTTAGTTTAGGACTTTCCGAATTAATTCATATTAGAAGTCGCTTTGGGGTTTCTAATCACTTGCAGCTGATGAGAGCAGGCAATAAACTATAGCTTGAAGTGATATTAAAAACAACAGTAAAATGCTTGAGCAATATAACGAGGCAGTTATCCAAGGTGTTAATGCTGTTGACATGTATTTGACAAGCCGGACGCAGGGCGAATCGAGAAATTGACAGCAAATACGAAATGTTCGTCACGCGAACAACTTGAACTCGTGTTGTTGCCACGCTTTTTTGTGTATTTGAAGTGCCATGCAAATTGAGTACTTAGCAAATTGTTGTAATTAAAAACAGCAAAAAAACGCGCACGTAATGTATGAGGGTATGAGAAACGCGTGCGTTTTACTAGCGATTTTTTCCTCCCGGACAAAGTATAAAGAAGAAAAAAGGTAAAATAAATGAGAGAATTACAATTGTTCGTGTAGGCTTATTGCATATTATCACTTTGTAATAACCATCTATTAAATATATATCAATGCGATATTCAATTTCAAATCAGTTGAATGCTATTATTAAATTTAATGGCTTAGCAATATTGTTACCAACTTTTGTGGAATTGAGTTTTATCATATTTAAATAAGTCTGGCAAACACACTGCAAAATGATTAAGGCGAATGATTAATTTTGCGACAGCTAAAAACAGGAATTGAACCAAGTGACAGCACAAAAAAAAAAAAATATAAATATATATATATACAAACATATATTTATATATTTTTTATGTAGCCTTATTCCCCACGGCTTAATGGTTTTAAATATTTAAATGTTTAAAGAACATTTTACTGAAAAAATATTTGCTTGTCGTCAACAGCTTGATTGATTTCATGCATATTTAAATATACTTTTTATTATATACCTGTAATCAATTAAAAAATGAAGATGAATTGTCAGTTTTTGCCGATTGTACATTGGCTTAAATACTCGCTCACAAAATGAAAGGGATATATTGGTGTTCTGCAGTGGCATAACGAAGTAAGATTGATATTGTTGGTTTGCCCGACAGCATAAAACCTCTTTGCAGTCCAAAAACATAAAATTGCTTAAATTATTTGACATTATTGATCTAATGGCAAATGTGTCCCACAAAGTTTTGCATTTTAAAATTTATTTCAAAATTAGTTTGGTAGCTAAATATGATAATTGTAAGCTTTCTATAATAATTAAAAAGTTTCAATAATTGTATTTAATATCAATTCCGAATATTAACCTAAACTTGCCCCAGGAATTCCACAATTTCAAATGATTTATAGTAAAACTATAGTCATTAAATAGCTGTAGGATATAAAATGATGTTGTTAAACATGCATTAAGTCTGCAATTGTGTCATTTATGTTTATATATAATTTGTAAGCCTATTAAAAAAGAGGGTATTTAAAAACCACTCTGTGGTTAATTTAAAAAATGCCACAAAATGAATATCATTATTTTATGCACTGCATGCATTCAATTGAAAGCTCATAAATATTTATATTTAATGAATGCTGATGTGTGTGTGTGTTTGTGTGTGCATTTGGTTGTTGCCTTTATGCTGTGGTCGCCTGCTGTGGCGGCTCCTTCTGTGGCAATTGCTGTCATATTTATGAAATGGTTAATCCTGCTTTGACAACATGACAGCGTGACAGTGGCTGGGCGCGAGCGCGCGCATTTAATTGCTCAATGTCACTTAGTTTGACATCGAGGCATTATAGTTAATGCGGCTCATTAAATGATGTTTGCATTAGCTTTAACTCAAAATGTGACCTTGACGTTGCAGGAGAAAATAAATTCAATTCGTTGCGTACAATATAGGAAGCTGTTGCAATAAATTGGTGCAGACTAAAGCTGCCTTATATAGTAAGCAAGAGAGTAAAAAAGGGTTGCCGACTGAGCAATGCGCCATCATGAATTTAGAATCGATCTTAGGTGCAGTTTGCAGTTAGCAGATTGCAGTTTGCAGTTTACAGTTTGATACTAGTTATAATTCTGAATTTAGAAACTATTTTGCACTAAGCCAATATTCCCTTTTTGACAATGTAGGACGAGAATGAAAAATGGTTTAAATGTAGATTTATGCAAATGGGCCGCTCGCATCCTGTCACCCCACTGCACAGACTCAGTGGCATCTCGGCAGGCGCTCAGTGTGTTGGTAAGCTTGCTACTCATCGTTTTCTATCAACTGTGCTCTGGCCCCTAACACCCGCAGCCAACCCCCCACTACACCTCGCCTTGTGCTTTGTCATGACTGTTTTAGCCCGCTGGCTGTCTGCTTGCCAGTTCGCTGCTGCTGCTGCTGTCTCTGCTGTGTGTGTATTGAGTGTATTGCATTTAATATTTATTTGCTTTTATTTCTATCTTTTTTTTGGCCCCTGTCTTTCTTTCATTTCTGTTTTTTTTTCTCTCGCTGCGCACATTTTTCTTTCCTTCGGCAAGGTGCACCAGCGTCAGGTGGAAGAGGAAATTAAAAATGCAATTGCGATTAAAATTGCATGACAAACGCATTGCAAAATGTTTCATGTTTAGCTGCAGCTGCTGTGAGCCAAACCCCAGCACCCCCATCATGCCACGCACGCTGCCTGCATGATACCCTGAATAAATTGTTAGTGTCCCGAGTGTCGCATGTTAAATGAATCACCCAATATTTGACTCTAAGTGAGATGTCCCAACAGTTTCGTCCACATATGACACATACTGTTCATTCACACTTACCTTTAATCTATGCCGATTTGAAATTAACACAGTTCTCAGTTGACCGCGTCTGCCGTAAAAAATTGTATATACTATATATATTTTAATATTTGTGTGATCAATTAACGCGGCGCTTCAAAGTATTTAAATTCACTTTTCGATTATCAGCTAAAAATAACTGTTGAATTTCACCTGGCTGCAAATTGTGCCGAATTTAAATGTTTCGCGCTGCTAAGCTCAATAGAATAATTTAATATTTGTATTTCGAAACGAACTGATGCATAACATATATGCTCAGGTTGGCCGTCTGCCCGGCATTGTCGGGAAACTGCATTTATAGCTGATGATTTCCTGTGCCAATGGCCGCCACACGCGACCTGCCCACCGCCCCCTTTGGCGGACTGAGAAGTGCAGTTAGTGATAAACACAAAGCACAAAGAGCACAAGAAACAAGCAAATTATGTGACAGGCGAAAATGTCTAGAAGAGACGGGACGGACAGGCGAGACAGGCTGGCAAGCAGACCGGCTGAGGTATGTGAGGAAATTGATTACCCCTGCCCTGACCACGTGACCGGCTAGTGATTGGCTGATGCGACCGGCGTAGTTGTGAGCATTTGCGTTGTTTTTTGTTTTGATTTCAGATTCGTTTTCCTTTGTTTTATTTTTAATTCTTGTTTCTGTTTCGATTAATTTCTTCTGTGTTTTCGTTTCGCTTTTAGTTTGTCGCGCACTGTTCGCTTGCGAGCGGCCGAATGTCAAATGATTTGCCACCAAACTGTTTATGCTTTATTTATAATGTCACTAATTAATTTTCTCTATGAATTCGCTGGGCAATTGTGCGGCCAAAAACTGATGCTAATGCGATTGCGGCCGGGCACCAGCAGCCCGGCTAAACAAGCAATAATAATTTGCGGAAACAGTCCCACAATCACGCCCTTAGCAATTGACTGACTGACTGCTGTTGCTGTGGCTGTGCACAGTTATTATTATTAATTTGCCAGGTAAACAAATATATACATATGTATATAGCTAGCCCGCTCTATCACACACGCATCACACATCGCATATAGACCGGAAAATAGGAAGCTCTTGACTTTGTGAACCTGTCACGAGCTGAACTTGTAAACGTGGTCTCTTCGGAGTTGTAAAGCAGAAGTTATAAATTATGAATTGTAGTCGCCAGCAGATTGTAGGAGATTAATTTGGTTGCTTTGTTTTTAAACTTGTTCTAGCTAATGTGACTAATTTAAATAAAAGATGCTAAAAATGAAATTAGTTGGGCTATCTGTTTAAAATATTTGAAACACGTTTCGCATTCCAAAACTGTTGTTGGTCATGGGGGACATAGACAACACATTATAAAATATTCCGTTTCTTGGGCATCTTTCACTGAGAGTGCTTAGATGGCAGATTGGATTAGATGAGCAGAATTTTAAGCCATAACATTAAATATATATAAATTATGACTAAAAAGATTATTTTTAGACCGATATGGATTTCGATTTGGCAGCTCTACAAAAGTCTATTTGACCCTCGGTCTGGATTTAAGCCTTCCGAGTTTATTTAAATAATTTACATTGCTCGAACAGTTAATAACAGCTTAACGAAAAGATATATTCAGTTAATTTGCATTTACGATGCTTTTGATTTTTGTTTTCTTTATTTTTCCAATATCCGCACAACGGTCGGTCTGTGCGACCCTCATTTTGGTAGTCCAAAATTTTGGAGGTATTTTGATTTTTATTGTAAAATTTTCCACTGCAATTTCTTATTTTGGGCACACATTTTGATGAAAACATAATTTGTTCAGTTGGGGCTAACTTTTCCATGGCCCATGTGCTCTGATGTGTATGAGCGACCTTTGTGTTTTCGATATGCCAGTCACGTTTCTGGCTGGCAACATACGTAATTAGCCCTACGAGCAGAAGGCCATGGAAATAATGTGGCCCACGCTTATATAATAATTAGATTTGCCCATCTATTTTGAGGCGTTGTCAACGAAAGCGATTCATCATCTAACGGATCGTGTGATTCTAATCTAATGCTTTGATTGGTTTCTTCTTTTAACATATGTTAGTTTCGGCAGAGGATTAAGAATTTCATTTACATTTTTCTGTTTTTGTGCTTTTCTCGCTCTCGCTCTTGACAATTTAATTGTATTTTTTTTTTAGCTTTTTATTTTTGCGTTTTCAGCTATTTTCACTTTTGTGATCGGATTGAAGCGCGCTGCGTCTTGCGTCTGCGAGTGCCACGACGGGTTTGTTGTCATCGGCGGCTGCGGCTGCCTCTTGGGCGGCGCTTTTGTTGGCTCGATCTCGTTCGCGGTCGAATCGGCGTCGTTGTCAGGTGCGGCTAGAGGCCGTTACGTTTGTCGTCGGAAGGTTCGGTCGGCGCTGACGGCAACTGCGACTGCGGCAGCGACAGCGGCAGTGACAGCGACAGGGGCAGCGAAAATCAATGCGACTGCAGCGCTGACAGCGCAGTCGACATCGCTATAGTCAGATTTTATTGTACAATAAATGACTGCACATCTTGGGCCCAAAGGCCAATATGGACAGTGCGGCCTATGGATTAGCTGGCTGGCGATCCGGTTTTTGGGCCAGCTATTGAAACGCGTCGTCCCAGCTCGCAGCTCGCAGCTCGCAGCTCACAGAGTTGTGTGTGCATTAGCGCTTGGCTGGACCTGGACCGCGGTGTCAATGGGCAGGCAAACATGCACACGGAAACACAACAGCTGCAGCTTCAGTCGCCGCGTTCAAGTGAGTAATAGTTAAAACAGCGCAAATTAAAATTGTCGGCGCCCTTTGCCCAATTAAGCAAAACGACAGAGTCAAGTGCGGCCCATTGGAAAATTTTGTATAACGATAAAAAGTTCAATGAAAGGGGGTAATATGGTGTTGTGCAGATCAGTCTGAGAGGCAAGATGAATGTTCTAAGAAATCAAATTGTAATCGGACCAGCATCAGTTTAGTTACTAATCTTGTTAATCTAGTCTCGGTTTTTATAGAACAGATGCTGCCAACTCTTTGTTAGTCACATACATTTTGTTTTCATATTGGCTGGCCTACGTGCTTATGTGTTCATAATTTTTAATTTTGGTTATTTGTTTAGGTCAGTTCTAATCAAGCAGTTTTGCCTCAAAATGCTTGGCTTGACAGCAGCAGTGGGTATTCGATTTGTCTATCTGCACTTTTGCCTTAGAATGCAAAATACTCATTAAGGGTCTAACAAGAGAACTTAGTCCATATACAAATTGGTTCAGAAGGTTGTATTTTTTGGTTTATTCATTTAAGCTAATTATTGAGCAGAAGTTTCCATAAGTTTCTTGTAGATCCTTTAAGAACTTGAATAGTATAATATCATCTTAAGCTGTGCTATACAACATTATAGTCATATAGTTTTAATACCCAATCGTGATCAAAGTCAAACAGCAAATTGAGAATCACAAAAAACCAATATATTTACACTTACCTACACTCTGCGACATGTGCTCATGCACGACAGCAAATGCCATTTTAATGACTCTTAGCTGTCGCTTTAAAACAGAAGTGCTTAAAGAAAATACTTTCAATACGATAGAGTTGCAGAAAAGTGAATGAGGTTGAGACGTTTATTCATATATAAACACACAAAGCTTGCTTTACAGCAGGGCTTACGAAGTTCACCTGAATTACATTGCTGAGTTGGGGACGCGTTAATTATTGTGCCTCAGTCAAGGGATTTTGTTTGCGGCTGCATGTTCGCCATTAAACGCTTCGTTTGGCGCCCAAGTCGTTGTCGTGTCAAACTTTGCAACTTCTGTGAACTTCTGGTAACAATTTTCAGTCGGCGCACAAACGAGTAGCAAGTGAATGCAAAAGTTTTTGCATTAAATGCAAAATAGTGTTAAATAATTTCTGCTATTTTACGATCATTTTTCATCGGCTGACGCCTTGTTCTGTCTGTCTGTGTGGAAAAGCGGAAGTGTTGCAGCGCCTTATTTCACTCTCTCTTTCGCTCTCTCTTTCTCTATCTCGCTCAGTCTAGCTGCCGACTGTCTGGCGCACCGCATACTTTATAGCCTGTGCTGGAGAGAATGTGTATGGAAGCGAGGGACTGGTGAATTAGCACAAAACCGCATGTAGATTTGTTGATAACAAGCCAAGCACAGACACACGCAAACACACACGCATAAAGGGCCAACAAGTGCTTGTGGCTAGGGCTAAGAACGAACAGTGCAGTTAGATCCTGTCAAGTTGGGAATTTTATGCGAAATGTTTAGTAATTAGTTGCATCCGCCAGAGGAAATTACTTAGCAGCGGCACTCTCGACCGCAGCACCCTCGCTCACCCACATATTCCTGACGGCCGTCGACAACCTTGATGGAAAAAGCCCACGCGTCGTATGTGCTCTACGTCTGTTTGTATCACTAATACGCAGCGTGTGCTCGCTTTGGTTGGCGCCAAACGTTTAATTAACTAATTAAAAGTTGCATAGCTGGATGTACTCTGTCATTTTCTTTCTATTTCCATCACTCTTCCTTTCCCATTGTCCCTCTGTCTGCCTGTCTAAGCGAGACCCTTGGTAATTATTTGTAGTTGCAGTTTTAATTCAGCTAAAATATTTACACGCACACCAACTACACGAGGCGGTCTGACCTATTCCCGAGAGACCAGCCCCGCTAAATTCATCAACTCTAGGCAACAACACTGAGCAACTGTTACAATTAACACAGTTTTCCATTTCTATTGCACTTGTTGTCGAACAAAACTTTTGTCGAACACTTCTCAGTGCGGCACACTTTGTGGCTAGGCTCACAGCACACATGTAATTAGCACCTGTCTATTTACCTATTTGGCTGCCTGGCGACATGTTGACGTTTCTTCTGTTTTGATTAATGATTAATGATGCTGTGCATTGTGCCCACTTTTATTTTAAAGGTTATTTGTCTGCGATCAACTGAGCTTAGATCTATTTAGTTTGAATTTTCAATGTATGCAATACAGATTTGTAAAGTCTCATTGCAATCAACTGCAAGAATACCCTTTTCTGCACCTACAACAGTTTTTGTGAAAGTAGAAAATAAGAATAGTCCAACAAAATTTTATAAAATTTGGTTATGAACCAAATAATAATTTTCAACTGCAGAAAATATTGTTTTGACTTACTAAATAACGTATGAAAATCTATCTGAAAGGCGTTGTACACTAAACACCATTTACGCTACCCTATAAAATATACTCAAGAGCCTGGAGTCATACCTGGTTACTAACTACTGCTAATCTGCGTATTTTGCAAACAGAAAGTGTCAGATTCGCTTACCTTAGAATTGAATCTTAGAATTGAATTGTTTTTTTGTTCGTAATTTCACATACATTATCACGTTTTATAACTGAAAGGTGTTCAAAAAAAATTAAAAGATTTTAAAATCTGTTGAAGCACGTATTTAATCTCCAGTGAATATGGGAGATACATTTAATTACTTTAGTTATTGAACCTTAGGAGTCGTCCTGTGCAGTTTAGCTCTTTATTTCCTGAAGCAGTAAAAAAATATAAAATTAAGAAAATAATTATTCACTCAAGCCTAAATTATTGCACAAATACTGTTGCAGCTTCCATCTCGATTCATTTTCGATTCAGCACAAAAGTATGCTACGAATTTAGTATATTCGTGGATTCCCCAAAGTATGCTCAGCGAATTGTTCTTACCGTATTTAATTTTACCAAATATATTTGAGCCCGTCGACAACCCTGTCGGCAGAGCTCTGCTGCCATCTTAAGCCTTTGGCTTTGCCTTTCGCATTCTGCGAAAAATCAATAGCTACTGCGGATTTTGATGTGTTTGAAGCTTTGTTTTAGCGCTTGTGGCAGCGAGTGAGGTCTTTCAAGAGGCTTCTCTGGCAAATATTTAATACATCTTGGGAATTGCTTAAATAAGTTTGTTTATTT